CAAGAGGGGCGAACGGCTACATAAAAATCTCGGTGGCAGAAACAGGCTGTAATTAATACTCAACCCGTCGCTCTCAATCAACAGGCTCCCTGTACTGTATTAGCAATTTTGATGTAAAAAAAAAATTGGGCTCTTTTTCTTAAGCATATGTTGACTTTTGGTTCACAAAGCTGTAGGATTCCACACCAATAAATATTGAGCCTTTTGGCTATGATTGCATCTTTCTATATTCGCATCAGAGCGTTGCACAATTTAAAATTATGGATGTATATTTTGTTGTTTACTCGTTAAGTCGTGTCCGACTCTTTGTGACCCCATGGACCAGAGCACGCCAGGCCCTCCTGTCTCCCATGGCCTCCCGTAGTTGTGACAATTTCATGTTGGTTGCTTCAATGACACTGTCCAGCCATCTTGTCCTCTGTCGTCCCCTTCTCCTCTTACCGTCACACTTTCCTAACATCAAGGTCTTTTCCAGGGAGTCTTCTCTTCTCATGAGATGGCCAAAGTACTGGAGCCTCAGCTTCAGGATCTGGCCTTCCAGGGAGCACTCAGGGTTGATTTCCTTTAGAATGGATAGGTTTGTTCTCCTTGCAGTCCAGGGAACTCTCAAAAGCCTCCTCCAGCACCACAGTTCAAAAGCATAAATTCTTCGGCTGTCAGCTTTCTTTATGGTCCAGCTCTCATTTCCATACATCGCTATAGCGTTGACTATGCGGACCTTTGTTGGCAAAGTGATGTCTCTGCTTTTTAAGGTTTGTCATCACTTTCCTCCCAAGAAGCAGGTGTCTTTTAATTTTGTGGCTGCTGTCACCATCTGCAGTGATCATGGAGCCCAAGAAAGTAAAATCTGTCACTGCCTCCATATCTTCCCGTTCTGTTTCCCAGGAGGTGATGGGACCAGTGGTTATGATCTTAGTTTTTTTGATGTTGAGCTTCAGACCGTTTTTTGCACTCTCCTCTTTCACACTCATTAAGAGATTCTTTAATTCCTCCTCACTTTCTGCCATCGGAGTGCTATCATCTGCATATCTGAAGTTGTTGATATTTCTTCCAGCAATCTTAATTCCAGTTTGGGATTCCTCCAGTCCAGCCTTTCACATGATGTATTCTTTATATAAGTTAAATAAGCAGGGAGGCAATATACAGCTTTACCCTACTCCTTTCCCAATTTTGAAATGGCTTAATCCATAAACATTCCAGTTAAAGGACCAAATCACCTAACTGAGTTCACATTAATAACATTGGTGCCTAAAGTTTTTAATTCATCAAATTAAGCATGCAGTTAAACATCAAGTTATTAGTTTTAAAGGAAACCCTAGGAGAAAGTAGCATATATTACAGACATCCATGCTGGTTCCCTCGTAGTGTCTTGTTGCTTATTCTTTCAAATTTACTCTTTCTGAAGTCCAAGTTGGAACTTTTCAAAAGCCTTAGACTATAAATCCAACGATTCATTTTTGGCTGGGAATGACAGGATTTCCCCTCTATTTCCGCCATGATCAGTTCCATTCTCATTCTCCTGCCCATGACTCAGACTTCTGTCATGCCTCCAGTAATGCCATTAAAGTTATAGGTAAATACTGAACTAATTCGGATAAAATACAGCCAAGTTAAAAGCAGAGCTTGACTCAATACTTCTTTGACTTCAACTCCCAGAATCCCTCAGCCAAGACCTCTACTCATACAAAGCCCTGTTTCTATGCTTTGGTTGGAAATCAATAATCTGGCCCAATTAAATAATAATCACCTTAGCCCAATCTCTGATTGCAGAGAAATAACATATGCAGAAAAAAAATGCACAGAGTGCAGGAACGTGTAATAATGGGCTCAAGGAAGGCAGATTTAGGCTGAATATCAGGAAAAACTTCTTAACTGTTAGAGCAGTGCGACAATGGAAGCCATGAGCTCAGGAGGTGGCAACACCTTCTAGAGAAAATTGGACAACCGTCTATCTGATCTGCTTTGACTTGCATTGTCCTGCATTGAGCGTGAGTTGGATTCAATGGCTTTATAGGTCCCTCCAACTCCATTTTTCTATGATTCTCTGGTTTTAAATAGGAACGGCTAAGATCTCTCCTGCAAAACCCCACAATTCTGCCGTACTTCATGGAGCACAAGGTGTGTATGAGATAAAATGCATAAACGGAAGACGGGATGTAGAGGAACACGTCAAAAAACCGAGAGCCGGTTGATAATCACATCCTTCCAGTAAAGAACGAAAAATGCTACGAGCTGGTTCAAGCTTTGGAAGTTTCGCAGGCAACCGACAAAGGCAGAAAGATCTGCGGGAGAACATTTTGGCTAGATTTGTCCTGATTCCAGTATCAAACTATTTTGTTGTGTCAAGTTTCCACGGTGTGTTTTGCATTTGTTTCTGTCTTCTGTTCTTGGAGCAGTTGTTGAGCTCTTAAAGTGAGACTGCAAATCCGCTGTCATATGGAAGTCAGTGAGCTGTAAAATATTTAAACTGGCTACAGTTGTACCTCATTTGTTTACACGTTTCCAGCAGGCTGCTAAAACGTAACACGGCAAATGGGAACAAAAGCCGCTGGCTGCTGAATCGAGTTTCATAACAGCCCTATAAATGTGCATTGATCAGCAAGGTATTACTGTGCCTCCTTTACTTACCTTTAGCCCTGGAGGCTATATGATGTAGGCATGTGCCATGCTTCCACTTTCCCAAATGTTCACTCCTTTTATTCTAGAAACGAACAAAAGAATACATATTTCGTCCTGCAAAGATTTCTGAGATTTTGGCCTTTTCCCTTCAATTGGCTTTCAGATCAGTTTGGTGTCGCTGGACCTCATCCAACGTGGCTTGCCAAAATCTCGCAAGTGGTCTGTCAAGCTCAGTGGTGCACCTAACATGCGCTGTGGACTAGCAATCTGTATAGAAAAATATGACATGACCTTCGAACATCAGTCTGTTTAGCTCTGAATGATCTGTCACGGTTTGGGGACATGTTTTGCTGGAGGAGACAATAAGGCTAGGAAAAGCTGATGGCAGCAGGAAAAGAGGAAAAATGAGATGGGAGATGGATTGACTTGGTAAAGGAAACCATGCCCTTGAGGTTGCAAGAACTTAGAAAAGCTGTTAAACATAAGATCTTTCAGAGGTCACTCGTTCATGATCTCCAAAAGGCAACTAAACAAGTAATAATCCTAATGATGTATTCTCATAATCTTGTATTGATATTTTAGTTTTGTATTGCTGTTCTCGAGTTCCAAGCTGTTTTGACTACATTGCACAGAAACATGACATATACATTTAGATGATGATGATGATGATGATGGATTGCCTTCAGCAGGTATCTAGAATCTTAAACAAGTAGTCTATGCCACTTCCTGCTTAATCCTTCCAACGAGAGATGTTATGAGTCATTCATTTCGGAGGTATGGTGGCCATAAGTAGTAACCTCAAAAAGGTCTTAACATTAACACCCCCACTGCAGATTTTCAAAGTAAAAGCAATCCCCTCTTTTAATGAACCAAACCCTTTCATTTCCAGCTTTCCCCTGCTTCTTCTGCCTTCCACTTGCCCTGGCATTGCTGTCAGGGACAGGAAAGGAGCCTTGCTAAGAAATGTGAGGATAGTGAATACATTTGGGTACCCCTTTTGAGCAATGACACCATCCTGCCAACTTATCTTTCCACCCCGGAAGCACCTTTAGATTGCTTCTGACATGGTCAAAAAAGCTGCATTGTCAATATCTCTTCTAAGAAGTCTTGTCTTCTCACAATGCACCTGAGGTGTGATTGTCTACTGTGTGATAGGCCTCAGTGGGTCTAACACCCTCTTATATATTCTCCTGGTAGTCTGTGGTATTCATGAAGCTCACCTGCTACACCTCATTTTGAATGAACAGATTACAGTATTTTTTTTCACTGTCTAGCTTTCATATCCATGCATAGAAATCAGGAAAACCATATTATCAATGATCTTGGCCTTGGTCTCCAGTGGCACATCTTTACATGGCCGTGGGGATTTGGTGAGTTCGCTCTTCCCTAATTTTGTTCATTTTATGTGTTTGTTTGTTTGTTTTATTTATTTATAAGCTGCCTTTCTCCCAATAAGGGGACCCAAAGTGGCTCCCAATATTAAAAGAATAGAATTAAACACATAAGTTAAATGAAAAATTTTAAAAAACACCAATTACACGACACACTAATTAAAATATAATGGAATAATCAGAAACAGGAAAAACATTAAAAACTGTCCTAATTTTAAAAGTTCCATTGATTCAAGGGCCCTACTCATGTTGCGTTTGACTCCTGGGTTTCAGCTTTTGCCTGGAGGCTCACGGACATGAAAAATGACTATATGAGGTGTGTGTGTGTGTGTGTTTAAGCACCTGTGTGGGAATGTGCATTAAAATATAATGGAATAATCAGAAACAGGAAAAACATTAAAAACTGTCCTAATTTTAAAAGTTCCATTGATTCAAGGGCCCTACTCATGTTGCGTTTGACTCCTGGGTTTCAGCTTTTGCCTGGAGGCTCACGGACATGAAAAATGACTATATGAGGTGTGTGTGTGTGTGTGTTTAAGCACCTGTGTGGGAATGTGCATGCTTGTGTTTTGTTGGGGGTGGCTGAGTCCAATCATTCTATTATTGGTTTATTTTATATCCACTGGATATTTATGGTGAATGGCAAAGTGCCAACGCCCAGGGGCATAGAAGCTTAAGGTGGTCTGGTGTCTAGAGTTTAAAAGCCCAGCAAACAAGCAATTGTGTTGTTGTAGCCATTCCAAGACACACAGACACACAGCACACACAAACACACACACACACACACACACACACACACACACACCCCACAACATATATAACTTACAGGGTAGTCAAAATATTCCAAACAAGGTCCCTTTCTTTAACTGAACATACAAGGGACCCTTTCTTACCATGTGATAAAATTGCAACACATTGATTCTTTGTGAAAAGGTTTACTAGTCACTCCCCAGCTGTTCTGATTGACTTATGTGTGTCTGTGTGTGTTTCTCTAGTTGTCCTTTTATTCTTCTCAGAAGCATTTCTTCTGCAGGACGGTGCACCCGATCTCCTTGTATTCCTGCCGGGTGACCCACATGTCATTAAACGAAGCCAGGCTGGTGAGCACCGATGCAACAATCCAGACAGAGAACATCCTATCTCCTGGTGCCTCCACTTTGGCCAACATGCCTTTGGGTGCAAGAGTCTGGAGTTCCTTTAGAAGTCTTTCCCTTAGGCCAGGGAAAAGGGTAGACCCTCCTGCCAGGACCACATTCTTCCAGAGGGCCTGCTGGATGCTGCCGTCACATTTGGAGATGCTGTCCGCGATCATCTGGTGGACCCCGGGTGCTGTGACTCCAGCATCCCCTGGGCTGAAAAGGGTCTCTGGTGCTCTGAAGAGCTGGTCCCCAATTTTGACAGGATTTCCATCAGGGAGAGTGTAGGTTTGAGCCAGCTTTTTGTCTTTCTCCTGCTCAGGGTCTAACGCTACATAGCACAGGTTCTCTTTGATGTCCTTCACAATCTCCTTCTCAGCAGAGCTCAAAAAGGTATGGCCAGTCTCTAAGAGCAGCATCGCTAAATGTTTCATGATATCCCAGCCTGCAAAGTTCAACCTGGAAATGGCATGAAGCAAGCAATGGCCTTTGTAGATGGGCACAGTCAGCGTGACACCATCTCCGCTATCTAAGACTAAACCAGTGGTACGACCAGAAGCATAGAGGGCCATTAAGGCTTGCAGCCCCACAAACATGGCCGGCACCTGGAAATGCTCAAACATGATCTCTGTCATTTTTTCTCTGTTGGGCATGGGATTCATGGGTGCTTCCGTTAATAGCACCGGCCGCTCTTGGGCTCTCAGTCTCAGCCCATGCTTGTATATGTACCTCCAGATTTTCTCCATGTCATCCCAGGAGGTGACTATTCCATGCTCCACAGGATATTTGAAAGATAAGATACCTCTCTTGACTTGGGCTTCTTTGCCAACATAAAACTCCCTCTGTACTGGGCCGAACATGATGGCTTGGGATTTGGGGTAGCCCACAACCGTCGCAACGACGGCTCGAGGAGCTTGCTCTCCAGACAGACCAGCTTTGCACAACCCCGATCCATTGTCAATAATGACAGCTGGAAGTTCTGGTATTCTGGAGCAAGACATTCTCTCAATCCAAAGATCAGGGAAATGAAGGTTTCCCACCACTTTGTGCCTTTCTTTTTGGTCTTGTAGAAAAGAATCCTTCGCTATCAAAATGCTAGAACCCTATGAGTCACAAAACGGGATGTCTCCCTTTTTCCTAGTGATGTACAAGCATATTGCATATGCTTTAAGAAACTGATTCTTCTCAAAGAAGCCGTTAGTGGATTTTTGAGGATGAAAAGCATCAAGAATGGAGAGGCAGAGTTTTGGATCAGCCAATGTTCTATGTTAGACTCAAGAAGGAAAATTCAGAGAACCAGGATCTCTCTGCCATGATCATGGGAAATGAACCGCAAAGATCAAGAAGAAAACTTTGGTTTATAACCACCCAGCAAGGAAGTCAGGCCGAACCATCTTTTTGTTGACACTCGGTTTAGTTTAGAAAGCCTTCATGGAGTACCATGAACTCAAGTCAATACCTTGTATTCTTGTCCTCATCGTACAGCCCAGGAAGGATAGCGTTGAGGTGACATCAGAAAAGCAACATGATGTCAGAAAGGAACATCAAGTGCTTCCCAACCTTGGGTCACCAGATGGTCATGGACTACAACTCCCAAAAAATCCAAGCCAACACAACTAGTGGTGAAGGCTTCTGAGAGTTTTATTCCAGGAACATCCAGGGACCTGAGGCTGGGACCCACTGGTA